ACCATAAAAAATTATAAATGTCTGTTAAATTGTGACAACATCTCTGGGATACCAGATTTTAACCAGACACAAATTTGATAACAGAAATAGAAGAGGTATTTACACCTGCAAATAAGAAAGAATTGGAATTTTTTTAAGGGTTAGCCAATTTTTACATCAGATATTTTCCAAAGTATAAATTTTTGACCCTACAAAAGGAAGTGACTTTAACTACAGATACAAGTGAGTATGCTGTATCAGTGATTTTGTCTCAAGGTCATCCTATAATGTACCCTTCTAGAAGATTAATGTCAGTCAAAGTTAACTATTCAAACATTAAAAAGAAGCTATTGTATGGAACACAAATAGAGCTCACTTTTTTTTTTAATTACAGGAAGGAATTACCTAAAGTCATATCTAGAATTTTAAGATGGGTCATAAAGCTCATGGCTTCAAACATGTGAAAGGAAGGTCTATTCCACATGTAGATGCTCTATCAAGACTAAAGTTCAACAATGAACCATTAGAAAGATCAGATAATTCAGAATATAAAATATTACATTGGATTGAAACATGTAATTACCCTTAGATTGTCTTGCATTTGAAATCTTACAAGATCTGGTATTAAGCAAGATTGCATGTAGAATAAAAAGAAAAAAATAGAGTGATTGTTTTAGGGCAGAGAGATCCTATGAAGAGATAAGGCACAGGTTAACTAAAGAGAAAGGCCTCATTTGCATGGGGGCATTTTAATACCATGAGAAATTAAGAAAAGATGTAATAAAAAGTGTACAATAAGATGTTCATTGTGGAATAACAGCAACACAAAGACAATTAAAATTGGAAGTGCCAAGGCCTGCATATTCATGTGATGTAAAAAGAATATGGACAAAAATGCCCAAAATGTGTGGAAATGAAAAATCTTTGGCCAAACCAAGATACTTTCATGGCCTAAAGAAAAATAGCCATGGTTAAAGGCATAGAACTATTTTTAATTTTGGTTGACCATCTGGATAGCCTGAAGTAGTCAGAGTTCAGGATAGGAAAGCAGCCACAGTAAAGCAAACATTACAAGTAAAACGGGATGCCAAAGACATTAGTCTCTGACAATGCACCAGAATTTTGTGAGGAAACTGTGTTCATGGTTAAAAAAAATGGATGCCTGCCTTATAAAACACCACTACACCCCCTGCAATTGAATGGAATTGCAGAAAGAATGATGCAGATGATGAAAATGGGATTGAAGGTATTTTCCCTATCTAAAGATACCATAGTTATCTACCAAGATGTTTACTGAGTACTAGAACTATTCCACATTCTAGTAGAATGCAAAGTCCCTCTACATTGATGGGAAGACAACTTAGATTGCCCATAACAATGTTCTATTCAACAAATGAAAAAATGTGATACAAGAAAAGACAGAGAATCAAGTTCTGAAAAAGCTAACTTTATTGCACGAAAGGGACATAATATGACTATAATAGCAACAAGTGGACAGAATTTATTGGCTCATTCTGATCAAATAAGACCTAAAAGTGACAACAAAGAAGTTGAGATGGAAGAGGAAGAGGAGCCTGAAAGGGAGGAAAGCATGAGTGCTTCTGATGGAGAAAGCAAACATAGTAATAAAATAATTATGGCAGATAATTTGCACGAATCCACCATGGAGTTGGAAAAGGAAAGCAGACTTAGATCCTCAATAAAAAGAACCAGATACGATCTCATAGTATTATTCAGAGAAGTCACAGATCAACAAAGGAGGTGTAGTGACATAGGCAAAATGGACTTGCCCTATTTTGCATAGATTCAAACGACTACTATAAGTCAGTTGTCACTCGATACAGAAGGAGAACTTCTACATCACAGACTAGAAGACATCACAACATACATATATATGTGTGTGTGTGTGTGTGTGTGTGTGTGTGTGCGCCCTGACATCAAATATATAAAAAACATAACAACAGTGACAGTAGGAATAGAAATATAAACAGAAAAATCATTTGGTACATACTGCCATTTAACCAAATGGTGAGCACTAAGTTAGGGCTGAAGTTTCTCCATTTAATTGAGAAAAACTTCCCCAGAAATAATCTGCTTAGTAACAGAAATACACTAAAACTAAGCTATAGCTGTAACAATAATCTTGAAAAAATTATTTAAAAACATAATAAAATTTTAAATCAATACAAAAACCTGAGTAATTATCACCATTTCAAAGCAACAGATGCCGATAATACCAACAAATGTAACTGTAGAAATTCTAACAAATGCCCATTGCAAAACCAATGTCAAACAGACTTTCTTGTTTACCTAAGCACTATTTCTACTATAGAAAATCCAACAGTTAAAACATTTTATATCAGGAGTACCAAAAATTCCTTTCAAACTAGGTGGTACCAACATGTATTATCATTCTCCAATAACACATACAGAAATAGAACGCCACTTTCTAGATATTTTGGGAACTTAAAATAAGTTAATAAAACCCCTATGGTAAAATGGAAAATACTGAAACTTGTAAATCTTTAAATGAACCATGCTTCTTATATTTACATGAAAAATTAAAAATCATCAAATTTGCTGACAAAAAATCCCTGTTAAACCAAAAAGTGAAAACTGTAAATTGCTGACACAGTTCATCTTTTTTTTTCTTAAAATATAGTTAAATTTTTAAAAAAATCATGTATTACCATTTCTTATAGCCATAATTTATTAGTATATAATGGTCCACCCTTTACAGGTAATTATCTTTTGTTTATTCAGCTTTAATACTGATATGTATTTCTGTCCAGCTAGTATTATTAATAACTTATATAGATGTTCCACATTTCAAATTTTATCTACAGGTCCCTTTAAAAGCTTCCTAAATCTAAAGATAATTTTTTTTTTTTAATTTTTCTGTTAATTTTACGTCTGATTAAACTACCCTGACATATTTTCCATAATTGTCAATGATGGCCTGTCTATGTTCTGGTTTATTATGACATGAAAAATAACTCCCCCACCTCCACTCTCTGAGCTTACTTTTTTTTATTTAGTGTAGATCTGACATTAAATTGGTTAATCAAGACATACCCACAACTCTATTTTTATTCTGACTTTATGGTCCCTGCTTTAAATTTTGGAAAAGAGGTAACCCTTTTGTTTTTAAACTTTTTTAAAAATCATTTAATCACAAATTACTTACCAGCGCCTGAAGAAGTACAATCATAGTATTGAAACATGAAAGCTTTTGTGTAGTGATTTCAACATGTTTTTATTATAATCTCTTATAATAAAAATAAAATATATTGCTCTACTTTGTATTGAGCTTTTTTTTAAAAGTAAAAGCTACAAAGAGTGGAATTTTACTCCATCTGTTCTTTCTCTCATTTGGATTTATATATCAGGTACAGCCAAAATTTTATCTAAAAGACCTAAAAAATGCATTTAAAATAATTTAAATGCCTCCTTTTTAGTAAAAATTTTCTTTATTTGAAAGATAACCTAAAGCTTATCCATATGAAAAGAAAAATAAATTTCTGTATGTAAATAAACATTTTCACATCAAACTGCCATTATGAACAAAAAAATGTAAACAAAAATTTTTTAAATCACTTAATCATCCAATATTTTCTTAGTGATGTGTTTCAAAGTAAATTAGTAAATTTAAGGATTAACTGAATTTTGTAAAAGTTTTTTGCTTAAATCATAAAAATAACGTTTATTTATGCACAGTAGCCTATGATGTCATAGGTCAAAAACAGTTATTTTTTTACTGCCATCCCTGATTTAAAAAGTTTTTTTGATGAAATACAGAACACTAGCAGTGCAATAATCAAGAAATTGTTTATGTTTAAAAAAAATTATTTTTAACCTTATTGTAAACAGTAGTTTAAAAATATATAATCTTTTATTCTAAACACCCTTTATGGAACTTAGTATAATTCATTTTACATTAGAAGTATAAAAGAAATTAATTAAAAACAAGTTAAATAATTATTTTCTTACCTGTTTGATGTCATAAATATTTTTACTGCACCCAATAAGGTTTGCATATTTATTCACATTTTAAAGTTTATTAAAACTAAACGAAGTGCTAAAAAACGGCATGGAAACTGATTAAAATAAATATTAAGACATTCATTAAACTCTTGAGAGGAAGATGATTCAGAAATTTCTCCTATTTGATCTTTCATACAAAAAATAATAGAATAAAATTCTTTTAAAAATATTTCTGATACAAAAATAGCATCAAACATTACATTTTTCAATTCTTCAAACATACTTTATTTAAAAAAGATAAAAAACAAGATTTATCTTCTAATCAGCAACCAGAAGAATTATAAAATAGCACTGAAAAATTATAATAAATTTTTCATTGTAGATTTTTTGTCAAAAATCTGAAAGAAAATAATATGAAGCTCAAGCACCAATAAGGTCTGAAAATTTTATTTAAATCGGAATATTCCTTGATTTGTTTTAGTATTTTTTTTAACAGTAGGTTAATTTAAAAAAAAAAAAATTTAAAAAAAAACAAAAAAACGCATCCATTATTTTTGGCGGTAAAAACTTTGTTAGAATTCTGTTCATTTGTTACCTGTTGCTTAGCTTTAATTTCCTTTTAACTGAATATTTTTCATGGCCAAAAAATAAAAATGAGAAAGAAAGCGCATTTCCATTTTTAGTTTCAACTTTTGTAAACTTTGTTGTCAGAAATCAGTGATTTTTAGCTTTTAGTAGAGTAGGAATTTGCGCTCATTAAAAAAAAGGCTATTTTAAAAATTTAAGTGATCTTTAGCATAAAGTTAGTATTTATTAATCTTAAAAAAATAAAATACACATTTAAATAAGTTTTAGGCTGTTTTTAAATATAATTTTTTTAACTGAAGACGCCATGATGTTGTTATTTGTTTGCACTAGAAAAATGAATTAATTGTTTTTAAAAATATTCCTCTCATAGAAATTTTATTCGAAGCAAATTAGTTAAATTAATCATAATGGTTAATTTAATTAACTGGATTTTGAAAAAAATTACTTACTCTGTACTTAAAATAAAATGAAAAGGACATTTGTGTACACTATGCGTATGATTGTTTCTGTGAAGAGAGTTCAAATGTGCACTTGAAATTTATGAGCTTGTGAGTGATAACAGGTGAAAACAATTTCCTTGTTTGAAAGTATGGCTGACCAAAACGATACAAAATTTCAAAATTAGGGCGATCTGTCTTAATCTTATTTATTTCTCTATTCCTGTGCCATTTCCTTTCAATACATGGGCGATTATAGTTCTCTACAGATTCTTTGGTTATCAACAATAATTAATTATTCTTTTACAAACCCTCTTTGTCTTTATGGTGCACTTGTTCCTCCATACATACTAGTCAAGTATCTCTACCCGCTGCTGCTTTTTCTCTGGCCTTCGTTGCTACTGATGTGTTATGGAGATCAAGTCGCAAATGACCGCCTCTGTAAATAGCAACCAAATAATAATTTAAACGGAGCATTTTGACAACCGGAAGTGGATTAAAAGCATCCTGAGATGAAGAAAAAATCGATAAGAGTCTTTTTTAACCAATCACAGTGACTCCCGCATTTTTCAAGATTTTAAAAACTTTGGAGGCATCTAGCTAGCTAGCCCGAATGAAAACTGAAAAAAAAAAAAAAAAAAAAAAAAAAGCATAGTTGATTTCTTCTCTGCCATTCAACAAAATGAAAACTGCTCAGAACAATGATTCAACTTTTACTTCTTGCCAGAGGCAAAGAATGCTTGAAACCATTTTTTTACACATTACCTTTCATAATCACATACTTCCCCAAAAAAAAAAAAAAAAGAAACTCTTTCTTCATAAATTAAGTTAATTAAATTTTGTTTTTAAGTTGGTATGCACTTGTTGCATCCAATGGTTTAGCAACCAGGAGTGGATTAGCTCCCATGACTGACAATTGTTTTGTTACATATACCAACCACTATCTGTCTATATTTCTGAGATGAGGTATTATGTACATTATTCAGACTATTGTCCTCATCTTTGTTGCCATATTTATTACAACATTTCGGCCGTTGTACGCTCCGGCCTTCTTCAGGTGGTGGAATGTCGAACATAACCCTTTATTTCGCTCACTGGGGTAGACTGTTCTAGTTCCACGTGCCATGTTTTTAATGGATGTCAGTTATCAGTTATCAGGCAGTGAACAATAAACCCAACCCCCTCCTTAAGAAGAGGGGCTTGGGCTTAGAATTATTTGAACTTCCTTAACCCCCAAAAGAGCCAAAGGGAATTCAAAAGATAATGGTTGACATGGCAATCTCCTGTATTCTTATAAATCTATTATTAATACAAATGTATATTATGTCAATGTACAAATAGAAAAAATTCAAATATTGTTGTTGATAACTTTAAAAAAAGTCAGTAACATTTCCAGTATTCTATTTACATTATTCAGACTGTTGTCCTCATCTTTGTTGCCATGTTTATCACAACGTTTCAGTCATTGTACACTCCAGCCTTCTTCAGGTGGTTGGAATGTCAAACTGAACCCTTTATTCGACTCACTGGGGAAGACTTCTAGTTCCACATGCCATGTCTAATGGATGTCAGTTATCTCCTGTTAATTCCCCTCTGAAAGTTCTCCGCTGCCTTAACCAGGTATTGAACTCACACTCTTTGGGTCCTGTCACTGAATTTAACTAACACCTTTATCCATGTGTCCTTGGGGATATCTGTGTATGAATTTCTGGGTATTATAAACCTGTCTTCAGCACACTATTTTACCAGTGCTCATATTGCAATTTTTGCTGTTATCATTGTATGTTTTTTACCAGAGCTCATATTGCAATTTTTATTGTTATTATCGCTTTTCTCTGGCACTCCTTATTACTGGTTCCCATATTGTATTCATTTCTATGCTTGGTCAGTGACAAAGATGAGGACAATAGTCCAAATAATGTAAATAGTGTACATAATACCTCATCTCAGAAATATAGACAGATTTCCAGTATTGTTTGGAAATTTAATCACTTAAACAGTCTTGTAATTATATATATCAAATATATTTTTGCCATTATGTATGGATTGCCGCAGTGATGGCCAAATTGACAAAAATATGGAGGAGCAAAATCAGCTTTCAAACAAAGTACAAATCACTGGTAGTCTCCATTCTCCTATATGGATGTGAAATGTAGACATTGTTGGCAGATACAGAGCATTTGAGAACAAATGCATGAGAAAACTCCTTAGCATTTTCTACTGGGAACAAAAAAGCAATGAGTTTGTACAGAAAAGGATTGAAAGTTTTTTTGGACACCAGGAAACTCTTCTCGCCACTGTCAAACAGAGAAAAATAGCGTGGTTTGGACACATTACAAGGCACAACTGTGTAAGGCCACCATTCATAGTGGGCGTAGGAGAGGAGGACACCAATGCAAAACTGGTTGGACAATGTCAAACAATGGACAGGTATGACTGTACCAGAATTGCTGTTGGCTGCTGTTGATAAACTGTTGTGGAAAAGAGTCAGTATGGTTTCTGCATTTGGATCTGCCCTACGATTACAAAAGTCAAGAGGATGATGATAATGGTGAAGATGTCGGTGGAGGGGAGGATATATTTTCACCCTACAACCCCTCTCCCACAGATGCAATGTCACAAGCCTATTGCTGCTTTATCACCACTTCTTTAGCAAATGTTCAGATATGCCCCATTCTTTAGTGTCACCAGCTAAGCAGCCAAAACTTCCTTTGCTATGTCCACAGGGTTGAATCACCTATATATTCTTTAGGTAAGAAGTTTCTTCCCAAGGTTCATTACTTTGTTGAACAAACACCTGCATGGATGCTTCTGTGAACAGTATCATTGTAAGGCCAGAATTAATCGTTATCTTGAAGTATTGAGAGAAAATGATGAGGAAACACACGTGTTATATTTAATGAAACAAGATAAGGAATTTATTTACAAATTTACACATTTGAGATTGTTAGTAACTTGTTTCGGGAAAAGGAATCAAATATTTAAAGTTTGTAGTTTTGATGAATTGTCAAGGAGAGAAAATGTTCATATTAAATCATCGAACACAAAGTAATATTCCAAAATGTTTAAAACAAATTGAGAGAGTTCAATTTTCCCATAAAAGTTATATGGTTGTATTCAACATGAATGAAAAGATATATTTTAAGGTACTTAGCTTTGGAGTTGAATAGAGTTCTACTCTCATTAGAGGCTGATAATGTACCAGCATATAATTTGACACTAGCATTATTCAGACATGTGGAACTCTGGCTTTCTGCCTCTGGCTTCTTTCTGCTTTTTCTCTCTCTCTGTCTTGGTTAAACTTTCTCTGCCTATTTACATCAAAAAGGGATTTCACATCAGCTCATTACTTTTTTTTAGTTTGTAAGCTGCTCCTGTTTCCAGTGTTCAAAATAAATTTTCCCATAAGCTCATTAAACTTTGCCTTGATCTTTTCTTCAGTCCAGAGCCAATCCCTTTTTCTATTGGTCAAAATAAATTTTTCACATAGGCTTGTGAATTTGAAAACAGTGGAGAAAAGAAAGTTATTTTTATTTCATATTCACCACAATCTATTCACCATATCTTCATAATCAACACTTTCTACTTTCTACTATTATGTTTATATCTCACACACCACATTCAGTAACCTCTGCAAAAATGAAATAATAATAAAGAATAAAAAAATAAATATATTTTCCCATAATTCTGGTAATAAAAGAACCAGAAAGGGTTTTGCTCATCTGCACCGTTTTATTACTCAACATCTGGAAAGGACAGAACTTTCTTTCCACTTTCCAACACATAGTGTTCAGACATGGTTTTGTAGCTCCACCCATGAAGTAAATACATCATTTATTTTGGTTGTTCTACCTCAGTGCAAAGCCGACTTGAGCTTGACCATTATAATTATTCTTATCATTACTTACCCTAACTTACTTATGGACCAGAAAAAGAAAACAGGCATACCAACAGGCGTTGAGAACTTTGTTTCCCTACAGTTTTTATAAAAAAAAGAATAAATGGTCCGAAGTAGAAAAAACAACTTTTTCTTACTTCTACATTAATTGCTTATATGTGAATACACATACCTACAATACATCAACATGTGACCTTTAAATTCAATAAGCTCTGTACTTTGAATGGCTCTTGAGCAGGGCCAGATTATGACCTTTTGAGTCCCCTAGGCTAACAAAATTATGACCCCCCCACACACACACACACACACATACATACACACACACACACCTCCAATGGTACTACCCTCTAACTAGGCTACACCCATCTTGAGTATTTTTTACTCGTGATATATTTCAACAAAATTTACATAGCTTGAAGTAAATTCATTGCAAATTCTTTTAATTAACTAGAATAGCTATCTTTTGTTTGTTAATAAAAAATATTCTATAGAAATACCACTATTTTATCATTTATTGAAAACCAAATTAACATATATTTCAACACAACTGTAAAAAAAAAACATTTTTATAGCCAGCATTATAACAATAAAACAAGTCAAATAAATATAAGTTTGTCATATTGATATCATTTTAGTTTATGAAATTATTTAGAAGTTATAACATCTAGAAAATGAAAATCACTGCTTTATAAAAAATTTCTAAGATTTAAACATTCTGAACTAAAATCAAACATGTTATCTATTTAAAACAACAATGCAAACTAAAACATTCTTTTCCTTGCTTTGCTTCCCACAAAGTCAAATAAATATGAATTTGTCATATTCAGATCATTTCTGTTTCTGAAACTATTTAGAAGTTATAACATCTTAAAATCATTGCTTTATAAAAGCTTGAGGGACCCTAGATTACAGCCTATACTAGCCTAAATAATAATCTGGCCTTGCTCTTGGGCCTTATCTTAAGTGAATTTCAGTAAAAAAATACTATTATTGTTATAAACACATGTATGGAACAAAAAAAACTCAATGGTACAGGGAGGTGAAAGGAAAAGAAGACAAAAAGTGCAAATATAAAATTCTTTTGTATTTGCTGATGCAGCAGATGCAAGTGGAATACCTC